CCACTTCACCGGGAGCCGGTGCTGCGGGGCCTGCAAATCTGCACGAGCGTAGGTCGGGCTTAGGCAGGCAGGAAAGGGTGTGAAATTCGAGGTAGGAGAGATGGAAAAACTTTTTAAAAATAAAGTAAAGGCTGTAAGAAAATCCTGTGGATGCTGCAAAATTGGAGAAAAGGCTACAAAAATATCCTAACTAACACTATTCACTGGAGAGTCACTGAATAGCTCCTGTTAGGCCGAAGACTGAGGTTAATCTGGGGAGTCACCAGGAGGAACAGGGGGAGTGGCCTCAGATTTCCTCAGTCTCTAGGCAATTGGGCCGTAACAATACCCATTCAATGACTCCTCCCACGCCCCACCTTGGAGACTTACCAGGTCTAGCTTGTGACTTATACTTGCAACTACTTCAGGGGTGGGTTCCGGCAGCTACTATTGCCGTTCACTCATGGGCGCACAGCAATAAAAATTGTTCTGCGCATGCGCAGAAGCCAAAAACAAGTAAAACCAGTTTGGGGACAAGGCAGGCCTGGGTCGCTGCTGGTTCCAGCAACCCAGGCTGCCAAACCACTACTGGTTCAGCTAAACCGGTCCAAACCGGTAGGAACCCACCACTGAACTACTCAAATAGTTGTACTTTCACATTTGTGCTATCCTACATAATCTGCATTCATATAACTGTTTCAGTACGTGACAGTGTAGTTGTAAAACAGCTTGGGTGGTCAGTTCAAAGTGCAAGGATGCAATGGAAAATTTTCAGAAGACTTGAGGATGATCCAATGGGATTCTTAACAGAGGCTCTTTATCTTCAGTGAAAGGAAATGACTGTTTTAATAAAGATTTATATTGCTCACGAGAGCAATATAAAATACTATCTAATAGTATTTTATTTCCATGGTCCCAGAATGTGGTTTTGTTGCTAGTGTTTGAATCTGGAGGATCCGGCAGGAGTTCTCTAATTGAATAGTGGCTGCTCCAGGGATTGACAAATAACTGTGCAACAATCCAGAGGTTGTTGCATGACCTACAAGCAAGGAACTGGATCTGCAAAAAACAAACTGCCTTTCTTTTTATTTTAAACCCACCCTTCAGGAAGAAACTAAAATCAATGCAGACTTGTAATTTTTTGCTTTTACAGTGGATTTTTTTTCCAAAATAAGTTTTCTCTTGTTCACTTAGTCTGCCAAGCTATGCATAAGTATCTTATACTTTGTTTCTCTCTAGTGATTGATTTGCTAATTATACATAAAAGACATGTAGAAATCTGATGATAGATATTTATCCTTAATCTAAAACTGTTTCCCATGGCCTTCAATAAGCCATTTTCTTGCGGCTCTCTGTAAACATTGAAGGCACAATTTGACAGATTTTAAAGCAAGGACAATTTATCTCCCACTACTGATCCACAGGCTCATTGTAGAAAGTCAAACTTGGGAACTCTTATACCTGTAGGGTACCATAACCTCTGTATTTTGAAAATGTCATACAATTCTTAAAGTAGTGGCCATTGCAAATGGATTTGTCCCAGTGGTGGGTTTCGGATGCTGTTCCAACCGGTATGGTTGGAACGGGCCCGGCAGCATCCATACGGATGCGTGCAGCTTGCGCATGCATCTTAGCGCCTCCGTGATGCTCCAGCTGCTCAGTGGAGCATCGCACAGGCGCTGTACGAGCCATGAGTGTGCACGGAAGAGCCAAAGACTTAAAAGACCAGTAAGGAGCTCGGGTGTGCCCTCCAGAGCAGGTTACCAGAACAGTACCCGGACACAATTCAAGGTGTTGGTCATTACCTTTAAAGCCCTACATGGCTCAGGACCAGCGTATTTGCGAGACTGCCTACTGCCGGATACCTCCCAACGGCCGATAAGATCCCACAGGGTGGGCCTACTTAGGACACCGTCAGCCGGACAGTGTCGGCTG